AATTATCTGTCTCTATATCTCGCTTTATTTGCTGGGCTTATATACAATAAAGAGGGTGCTTAGAAAAGACTAAGAGTTGCTAGGAAAAGTCAAGATCCTTCGAGAATCTCATGACGTGTTACTAGCGTCACGTGACTTTCGCTGTCATAACAGTATCAATGCACTAACTAGATAATGTCCACAGCAAAACATGAAATACCACTTGGGTACTTTGACATAAATTTGTGCAGTTCACTATTCTTTGGGTCCATCTACCAACAATAACAGACTAGCTTTGCAGTACATCTATTCCAAGAATACAGATGCTAGAACCAAAGCCACAAACACCTACCTTTGTTCTGAATGCAAAACCTCTTAGACACTGTGTGAACTCTCCATTCATGCCCAGTTTATCTCTAGGCCCAAGTGGTGGTTTTTCTCAGAGCAAATAATATACCACGAGGTCTGCCAGTATTCTGAATGCTGCTGTATCAACTGATAACTTTATCTCTCACCCTTGTACCTAAAAAGGCATGTACCAAGATCCATCCAGCCCTAAAAGAGTTTGACTGACCTCCACACTTTTGAAGGAGGTTTTCACTGCACTCCCCCAAATGATGGTCAGATTTCATCTGTGAAAATATCTTTACAATCTGCAAGGTAAGCTTAACCATGCAATATGCACAGTTATCTATGTAAGCATTCAAGCTTTCAGTGACACCTATCTTCCAAGCCTTGAATTTGGCCCGATGGATTGCTCTATCTTACACCAAGTACAATGTCTAGCACAACTCAGTAATAATGGTTGCTTCTCATTCAAGTACTTGATGGAGTCTTGGGCCAACATGGGTTTCTCTAGTTTTCCAGAGCTATATCTGCAATATTTACTACATGCTGTTGGCTCTCCTGATCCTGTTGCACTGTCAATTGAAAACAATAGCCTTGTATACCTTGCAGCTTGCCAAGATAGGGATACTTCACTCAAAAGTGACCCAACTCTCCATAGGCAAATCGTGTTCTTCATTCCTCTCTTCCAAGACTCTGTCAGGGCAAAGGCATTGGCAGCATATTTATGACATGTAAACCATGGTACAGCCCTGTCCATTCACTGGATATCAGTGCAGCTGCATCACAATGGCAGGATGTGTGGGTGAGTTCAAACCTGGCACATGGTGAATGCCTGGATAGGACAGTCTGTCCAAGTTACAAGTCATTGCAGCTACTGCCACAGGCTTCTTTCTATGTTGGGACTGACTCATATGACCTTTCATATTGCATCTTGGGAGAAACTACGACAATAAGGGTGAGAAAGTCTCTCACATCCAAATGAAGTTACTTCACTTTGCTGAGTAGCTTTTTTATAAACTAGTCTACAAGAATATCTTGCTGAGGCCAGTACAGAGTTAGCTTTCAGTGGCACCTTTCTTCCTAGCATTAAATTTGGTCAGATGGATTGCTCTGTTTTCTCCTGGGTCAAACCTCTGGTTCAACTTGGTAATGACTGTCTCACAGTCCCATAGTTGCTTCTCATCCATGTGCTCAATGGAGTCTAGAGCTGGACATTCAGACTTAAGACCAGTCATTCCAAAGCTTTAGGAAATGGTTCAAATCTCCTTTCATTGTGCCTTTGAATGTTGGTGGAGTTATCTGTTTCAACTTGCTCGTGGGATCCCATGATCATGGCCAGAAAGTTCTAGAGAAAACAATTTGAGAGATTTCAGCCACTCTTCTATCCAATTTGCTAACTTATCCCCTACACCTATAATTTTTTTACAAGCCTTTCATATGGCACCTTGTCAAATGCTTTCTGAAAATCCAGATACAACAAATCTACATACTTACCCTGGTAACCTTTTCAAAGAATGTCAAAAGATTTGTAAGGCAAGATTTTCCCTTAATGAAACCATGTTGATCATCCAGTAAAGTTCTAAACTTTGTTAAGTGACTTTTCAAAGCATCTTTTATCAGACTTCCCAAAACTTTTCCCACAATTGATGTAAGACTAATGGGCCTATAATTACTGGAACAATATTTTTCACCTATTTTTAGCATTAGCTAACTCCCAGTCCTCTGGTACCTGTTCACTATTCAAGGACTTATAAAAAAAAAAAATAGTAAAAAGTGGCTGACATATCCAACTAAATCTTTAACCTCCTTAAATGAAAAATTTTAACCATGTACAAGTAGATATTTTTTTATTTTCTGAGTGTCCAAAGTTACCCCAGCTTGGGGTTACTTTGAACAACTATGATACTACAACTTTTGTTCAAAGAAATACTGCAACAGGGGTTACTTTGAACTTCAAATAAGTTAAAAAAAAAACACAAAACACATTTACATCGTTCCAATGATATATTGAAAGAAAAAAAAAAATACAAGAACAGGTGTGAAGTAATTTGGCATAATGAACTACAAACTTAGTGTGACATTTTATAGGCTACAACTACAAATTAAGTTATGAAAAAATGAGGTTATATTTTAGAAAAACAGTTACTGAAGGGTTTTCTTGTACTTTCTTAACTCTATACTGACAACAAAAAGCCTCCCCTTTTCAACACTTTGGGTTCACTCAGGCCTTCGACAATCTGTTCAACAATGATGCCCCCTCGTCCTGTACATCAGGCCACACAAACTTAAATCATATTTTCTTTGATGCCCTCATAAATCTCATGTTACACATTGTGCTTCCTGCATTCATGTAAATAACTTTGCCAATGTAATGCCTGAACATTTTCTTAACAGTAAACTCTACAATATAGTACTGTCCAATTTTTTTATAGCATCTTGGAATGCTGTGGCCAAATCCTGTCTCCCATCTGGTAGTTTGTTCAGAAATTTACCAGGATCAAGTGGATAAAGACCACAGGCTCTAAACCCTGCAAACAGGTTTTCACTGCTCTGCTTGTACTGTGGGTAGATAGACTTGTATAGCTCTTTAAGAAGTTGGAGGAAGCATTCTTTTGATAGCACCTGTGACTTGCACCGAGTACTTGCCTTCCAACTGTAAAGTACTTTCTTCCATGACTCCTTTAATGGACTATAGAAAATAACATTAGTTGCATTAAGTGTGTTGAGTTGCTAGGAAAGCATACAAAGCAAATGTTGTGTTCTAATGATAAATGTAACACCCTTTCAATAAAATGGCTTCTGAGATTATCTTTTGACCTTGTTGGTGTTTAACATGAGGGACAATGACTTTCAAACCAATCTGTAGAACAGACTGCATTGAACCATCCACTTCTTCTCTTGTTGTACCTGGTACATTAGGGGGGGGGGGGCGACCTTCCATCCAAGTGCTCCATATGTGTTCTGCTTTATAGACCACATAACTTGGGAGCATATCTCCAGTAGCAGAACCACAGAACATAATAGATATTGCTGGTTTTGTGCTGTCTCTTATTCTCTCTGAGTAATTCATTCCTCTCTTGAGCAAACATTTCTTTGTCCCAGGGTTGTCCGAAAGGTTGGTCTCATCATAGTTGTATATATATTCTCTGGTTGGACCTTTATTCTATCCTAGTTTTGAATCCATGTCTTTGAAGAACTGTCTTACATTAGCTGCCGATACTCTTGCTTTTGGCGTTTTCACACAAACGAGTTGCAAGTTGCTCATGATGTCTTTTCACAAAGCACCTAGTCAAGTCTGAACTAGGCAAGTTATTTTGAAACTGGGAGACCATTTGACCCTGCTTTTGTAAATAAATATTAGCTAGCAGGCTAATATACAGAAGATCAAAAGGAAAGCCCCACTCACCCACAACTTTCAAATGCTCAACCATGCATATCTCTTCTTCCACTGTGAAAACATGGAGGTGTCCAGGCACTTTTCTGTGCTTATCATTAACCTTATGACTGAAAATCCCTAGAGGAATACTATAGCATGCATAGGCCTTGTAAAGACTTAACTGATCTTCAGAGTACGAGTGATACGATCTTGCACCAAATTGTCTTTTATAACTGTCAACCATTTTGAAACCTGTCACATGACAAATATCAAAAAGTGAGCAATGAAACAAAAACATCAGTGATAAATGATGTAATTAACAATGAAATGATTAAATATTAATCAACACTGCTGCGCATAGGCTAGGCCTATTTATACATAGGCCTCATTAACTAAGAAAGGATACTTTACAGGGCTATGCTAAGACTGCATAACCTATTTTCACTTGAGAAGGGCAACAGGTAAACTTATCAACATTTACAAGAATATTCAGAGAATCGGTAGGACAAAGGGCTCTCATTTCTTTGTGCCTCATTAGGAAAAGCCACACTAGCTTTTAGTGATTGACTTATAGAATGAGTTGTCATCTGCAGTAACCAAGGCCACCTTTTTACAGGAGTTTGAGAAGGAAATTGATGATTTCCTCAAAAATAACAGGTAGGTTTAAATTTTTCTTTTCTCAAGTTGAATGTTGGTGTGCAACATCAGCCTTGAAGGACAAAATGGTTTCATATATTAGAGCAGAAGTGGAACACACACTTGTAAAAAAGATACAAGCTTATGATAATGCTTAAATGAATAAAATACCCCACAACCTTCAACTATTAAGCACTGTATAGCTTTTTTGTTATAAATATGATGAAGGCTATAGCCATTGAATAAGAATTTTATAGTGTGTGTCATTTCAAGTATTATTTATATACAAATCTACAACTATTATAAAATTAGTGATTCAGTAAATCAGGACATGCTAAAATCTTGAAGTATATTTAACAAAATAACACAGTGCTGCCATAAGGTGAAGTGAGCAACATAGTAAAGGGTATACATACTGTCATTTCTACATTCCAGATGAAGAACTGTTGTGATGTATGTGAACCACAATGCTAGTGTAGATATGGCTGTCTGCCAAACCATATGGCATAAAATTTAGCATTTTATTAGCAAGGTGTGACTATGCATTTATCAGAGCATCTGCCTCTATCAGTTTATGAAACTGGGTAAACCTGACCACCTGAAATTAAAACATTTATAACTTGAATGTTATCTATGAAACAGGAACATGAATAACTGTTTATTTCAGTACTGAACTATAGTCTGGAATAGTTCACCTTACACATAAAAATTAATTTCTATGAAATATGATATAGTATACACTCTAGCTTATTGTACTATCTTATGATGGATAATTGTTTTCCACAATTATATTTTCATCTTAGAAATGGAAACAGTTCAAGTAATTCAACAGTATTAGTAATCAGACTATAAAGACTTGACATAAGTAAACATACACTCTGGAATTATATATGGCATTAGAAAAATATGAGTAGGGTTAACACTTTGTCATGTAGCATTCTGCCTTATGCAAGGCAACAGTATTACACATTGTGTGGACATTATAATTAATCTTGAGCTACAGAACAGCGGCCCAATTCTGACACAGTCTATATAAGGAAGTCCTTGGAAGCAGATTTACTGATGGAATGATCAAGGATAGCCAACATGTGATCGACAGAGTTCATGTATTGTGATTGTCAAAGCCATGGACATTGGAAGAGCTGTGATGCCCTAGCCAAAATATCAAGCTAGGTTCACTTTATACAAGTTTATTACAATTTGTCACTGTTATAAATCTAACTAACCCAACACTATCTCTCCACTTTTCCATGTCGGGTACTTATTACACACCATATCACTGCATTACAAATTTACAAAGTGAGAAACTTATTAATAAAGTATACTTTATGCTACATACACTTACAGTGACATTACAATTTGCTAATGGCACTGCTGCCTAGTGCTTATACTTTTATAGACCATTGATATATGTATGACTAGTTTTGGACTCTAGGACAAACTAAGAACCTCAAACTTTGACAAACTTGAAAGTAGCACAAAACAATTCACTTCCAATTAATTATGCAATTTATTTCAATAGTATGCACATATTAATAAGCTCGAATTCAGCTTATCTAAAAGTAAAAATACAATATCTTGAACACTAATAACACTACCCAACTAAATTATACACCAATTTTAAGCTTAAGAAGAAAGAAAAACATGAACCTAACACCACAAATGTCAGATTGTCAGAGAAGAAAAGAATAAAAAAATTTATTTATTTTCAACAATACAAATCAACCCTACAGTTAGACCTTTTATAGTTAGGATGTAACTTTTTGCAATCCATGTTTTGGTTTATTCCCTGCAGTATTTTCCACTTTGTTATGCAATGAGTTTGTGTCAAAACAACTAATTACCATCAATTTGATCAAAGAGGTTGCGAATTGCCATGAATTCCGTTGCTAGGGCGTTTGCTATGTGTAGGTTTAAAATTTTAGTTCAGGATTGATTTTTAATACCATTTTTTGAGGATACGTAGGGGTGTTTGATAAAATGTATTGCAGAAACTGAAAGTAAACATTTTAGAGTAGCAAATATCTGTTGTTGTTTTTTTTCAAAAAATTGAGAAAATATGGGCTAGAAATACCTTAAATTAAAATCAGTTTATAAATTATAATCTCAATATGACATTAGGTATCCTGTCGCTTGCAAGAAAATTTCGTCCATTACTTCATATTTATCATTACAGTTAAATTAATGTTACCATATGATTCATTGCCGGTGTTCGAAATTAATATCACTATACATCAGTAATAGTTGTAATTTCAAATTTTTGTACATTGTAATTAAGTTATGACTTAACAATGTACAGGGTAACACTAACGGTGACGCCAGGCCCTGACACGCGGCGGCTCAATTCGCTCTTTTTTTATTTTAATTTTTACTCTACTTTGCTAAATCTGAATCGTCAAAGCAAACCTTTCAACGCTTCCAGAAGAAGTTGGATGCCTTCTTGGTAACAAACAATAGCATACGTATATCTTTTATTTTTATCGTGTTCTACAGCTCTACTTAATATCGACACAGCAGACTTTTCGACACTTCCAACATCGTTAATCTTCCGAACCCCCGCCATTTAGTTTGCAGCCCACGACTTTGTAAGTACTACTCGGTTCTTGTTTCGGTTCTTTGTTATTGACAAAGTTAAATATGAATTATTTCAATTCAACTGAGAAATAACTATAGAAAACTTTGTTTACCATAAATTCATAATCTATCTTTCATTTTTTCTAATATATTGGGAGAAAGATATAGTCACTGTTTGAATTTTAAGATATTAGTAGTTTTTGAATAGTAATGTGTGCAATATTTTATTACAATAGTATTATTAGTTCTATTTGCGGCATTCCTCGCTAAAGAGCATGTATAAGTCTGAGAAGTAACACCACTAAAAACCGGGTTTTGATACTCGTGGTTGCCACAGCACAGTTTGTTTGTTTATTTGAAGTTAAGCACAAAACTACACAATGGGCTATCTGTGTTCTGCCCACCAAGGGTATCGAAACCCGGTTTCTAGCGTTGTAAATCCGCAGACATACTGCTGTGCCACGGGGGGGCCCCACAGCACAGATAGCCTCTTGTGTAGATTTGTGCTTAATAACAAATAAACAAACAAATCAAGAGCGTGTAATAGATTTTCAACTGTACATGTCTCCCGACGGGACAGCGGTAAGTCTATGGACTTACAACGCTAAAATCCGAGGTTCGATTCCTCGCAGTGGACGCGGTAGATAGCCTAATGTGGTTTTCCTCTAAAATAAAAACAAACAACTATACATTTTAATAATAATTTTTTTTACTTCTGAAACAGTAATCAATTTCACCTTTTCAGAACTAGTTTAATATATATACTTAAATACATTTCTCCAAAATTTCGTGAATGTAATATGACCTTATTGTTAATCATGGGAAATCTGAAACATGTTCTTATCCTTTCATTTAGGTAAGGATGTTCCATATGGCGATGGACAGAAATTCATATCACTTTGGCCCTGTGTCCAACCTTCCAGGAAAACGAGTAAGCTGTGATATATAGGAATATAATGTGTTTTCTACATTCTTTTAGTTACACACGATTTAAAAAAAAAAGAATGTTTATCTTGTTTTCCGTAGTTCTGACACAACCACATGGTTCACAAAGTCGTTGAGGTTGTCTTGTTCTAGTTGCTTTGTTCTCTGTAGTAGATAATGTCTGTTCCGTGTGAGAGCTATTGTAGTAACATAGCATCTGTGTTAAAAATATCAGAGACTGTAAAATCTGTTGATGAATGAATTGACAATGTCGCAGTCGATCAGTTCTTGGAGAGAACAAGTGTCAGGGGTGACGCTGTTGATTGGACAAAGAAACCAAGTTTACCTGTAGAAGTTAAGTGTGCTTTGTTGGTTCAGTTCTACTGGGAGTTCTTCAAGTAAAGACCGTATATCTTATAATCCTTATGTTTTAGTCACTCGAAAATTTATCCCGAGAATAAGAAATTGGAAGGCCTAAGTACGATTAGCAAAAACCATCGTCGTTTTGTGTACACGAGTACGTACACTGCGTTTTCTTTTTGGTTATTTTATAATAAAGTTTATGTTAATTTTATTAACTTGTCCTGCCTACTTATTTCTCAAAATAAAACTCAGTCTAGTTTTCAAACACAGACTTCTACTAAAATTTTCTGCTCAAAGCTGCTCTTATACCCAGACCTAGCCAGTTGATACCTGTAGGGAAATCAGTTCACCCAGAAATATCACAAAGCCTAACTTAAGGGGTGGTACAAATACTTATACAAATTGGTATGAATTAGAGTTTTTCTCCCTAATAAACCTTATTTGGAATGTTCAGTAACCTATACAGTATTGGATTCTGATATACCACACTTTATTTTGACATTTAGTTTGAATTTGGGCGATAATCAAGAAGTACTTTTTTTTTTCTGTCAGGACTTATTGTAGTATTTCCATATTTGGCCTTTGTGGATGTTTCTGTATAAAACCTTCCTTCATGCTAGCAACCAATTACAATGACAGCAGAATTAGAAGCCAACTAGTAAGAGAATTATTGAATGACACATTTTTTCTTGTGCATAAAGATTTGTTTTGCTTGTGCACTTTTGTGTGTTTCTTGCCTTTTCTGTAGGAAATGGAAATTATTCTCTGCAATGCATTTTGCAGATACTTTTAAACCGTTTTGCCAGACGCTAGTGAACCTGATAACCACATGTTATGGCTGTAACAGATCTATTCGGATAATTTTTAAAATTTTAGCATAGATTGTCTGTGCTTAGTTAGACATTCTACATGAACAGAGGGTACCTAACTCTATATAAATTTAATCCAACCCTTTGGTTCCCCCATCGTCACACACAGTACAAGTCTATAGTGTATCTGCTTCTGTATGTTGCCATAAAACATCAGTAATATGATGCAAAACTAAAGAAACTGTGGATTTCTCGTTTGGTCATTAGTTGAGGTTAGTCTTGTATCACTGATATATTCAAAGACTCTGTTTCTACTCACAATATTATCAAGAAATTCCTCTTGCATGTACCTGGTTTCAAGGTCATGTCTGTTTTTCTTATCCAGTGAAATACAATAATTAGATTTACAACAGCAGTCTTGAACATGTGACCAAACACCAATACATCATTGACATAAGACATTTATCTTTCCTGTTGCAATTCCCTCAGTGTGAACTCCATCAACTTTCCAGGGACATGTCACACAAACTGAATAGTATGATGTGGAAAGCATTCTTAATTCTACATTAATGTCCTTCTTCCTGACAATCACTACCGGAGATGTCCATATGCTCTGTGAAAGCTGAGTGATTCCATCCCTTAATATTAGTATTTCGATGCTGGCTACATCACAAGTGCTCCAGAGAAGCCTGTGCAGCAATTGTTTAGTTAGGTATATGTTGTCTCTAATATTTGAAAATGGCTTGAATAGGTAATGAAAAAACTTTATTACAAGTTTAACATGATAACAAATGTACAATATTTTGATAAGGTTTGTACATTTATTACTATGTTAAACTTGTAATAAAGTTTCTTTCTTATCCATTCAAGCTGTCTTCAAACTATGTTGCTTCAAAGTGGGTTTCTTATCAAATGTGTTGCCTCTATCTATGTGGTGATAAGTTATATTTGTTTGATCCAATTGGCCTTCTGGTCCCACAAATATATTAGAATATTCAACCAAAAAGTCACCAGACTTCTGTTACAGTGTTGAATCAAGATTGCTTGCACAATCCTCAACTAGCGACCGTAGATGTTTCAAAAACCATATTATTGCTCTCAGATAAAACAGAAGGCAACAATACCAATATTGCTAATTTCAGTTACTTTAAATTTTCCCACTGTGCCAATGACAATTCCAATGGTAATCTGGATAGCTGACTATCCATAATTGCAGAACAACACCAGGATTTTATCCCTCCTTGGACAGATTAATGTTACAGCTAATGGCACATGCTTTCTGGATAGGAAAGAGTACATTATATGTTTTGGCTCTACCACCACATTACATGGCACCAATGTATGAGACCTTGCCTGCATGAACCACATAATACCACTTGTTTAAAACTCTCTCACTACGGGGTCGGTCAATTTGACCGAGTCACGTGATCTTTTGTACTCGTTTAAAGTCTTTATAAATTTAATACTTATAACTCTCAATATATTGGGTATATGTTCACGAAATTTGGCAGTCTTTCAGTTAATATTACAAGTCTCTCAGATACAAAAAGTCACGTTGCTTAGTGAATTACTTTTAATAAAATAAAATAAAGATTTGTTCGTGCATATACTGAGTATTTGTTTTGAATAGTCGAGTGCAAAGTAATTTTCATGTTATAATTAAAAATACTTTTCGTCATCTCAAAAATCTCAAATTTCCTTTGTGTAATCTCTAAACCTCCTAAATGCATTTCAAACGTTTTTTTCAGTAAAATTTTATAGTCTATCTGTTATTTTTTATAAAGCCATAACTTCAAACATAAAACTGCTTCTGTTAGGATGAGATTATTTCTCATTCAAGTGATGTCTCTTTGCCTCACCAGGTTACACCTCGATTAACTTGTCTATGAGAATATTTTTGTAATCTGCCAAAGCCATTGCAGATATGCCTTCTCGTGCAAATGACAAAGACCATCAATATAAGCAGGCAAGTTCTTAGCAGGACCTTTCTTTTGAACCTTGAATTTGGCCCAATGACTAGCTGTTTCTTCAGTGGGTTTAAAACTTGATGCAACTCAGCCGTGACTGTATCCCAATCCCAGAATTGCTTCACACTCAAGTACTTGTTAGAATCTAGTACCGACTACACAAACTCAGGATAAAGCATTGTACCAACTGTTCCTGAGTCCAACCACTCAAAGCAGTGACCTGCTTGACGTGCTTCAGGAAATTATTCATATCTTCTTTAGGTTTATCATTAAATGTTGGGGAACACATATCATTAGGACTTGTGATTTTGGCATAAATCTCTAGCTCATGGAGTTTTAGTCAACACAGGAGTGTTACAGTGGAGTGAGTATTCTAAGGGCCCATAGATTTTTAAGAACATCAGGTCCCTCCCCTTGTATGATATAATGTTGAATAACCATAGGTAACTTATAACTGTCCCATGAACAATGTTAAAATTACAAACACTGTATGCATGAACAAACCTTTTATTAATAAGGGGTAGAAAACACGTAGCATCCAGAATCAATATGATGACATGTGCTAAAAATAAGATTGAAGTTCTATGCAAATAATGAAACATTATAGAGAACATTAAGAAGAAAGGGACAGAAAATTGAAAGGTCAAGAGAAATAGGCTTAACATTATAAGTTATCGAATTACAAGTACAAAACATAAGACTTACAGAAGAATTATGAACAAAAATAATTTTGATCAAAGAAAAGATTGAGAAAGTCATAATATATACACTGAGTGGTCACAAGTAAATAGACACATAATTTTTCGTCATTTAACTGATTTATGCTAACTAATTTG